AAATAGCCGATCTTTCATAATTTCTAGATACGCAAATTTTGATTTTTAAATTTTCAAATTGTCGCTTTCTTAAATTTTCAAATTTCCAAGCGAAAATGTGGAACTTCCCAAATTCTCAAATCCTTTATTTTCTATTTTCCAAATTAAAAATTCCCAAATTGCAAAATTTCCAAATTTTCAAATTCTCATTTAAAAATTTTACAATTTAAGAATTTTAAAATCTGCAAACCTAGAAATTAGAGGATTTGGAAATTTGACAATTTGAGAAGTTACAAATTTTTGTTTGGAAATTTGAAAGTTTAAAATTGTAAAACTTCCTACGTCCCACATTAAAAATTTTTGAATTCATAAATAGTAAAATTTCCAAATCTCCAACTTAAAAATTTTCAAATTCCCAAATTGAAATATTTCTAATTTCTTAAAATGCCTGAATTTCTAAATTGTCAATTTCTTTCTTTCGCATTCATTGTCTTGAAGTTCTACAGAAGTACGTGTGAAGATAATGAAGGAAATTTGAACGTAATTAACAATTAATTCCATAACATTAAGTATTTAGTTATTCGCTGCCAACGAAATACGTAAATTAGTGTAAAAATACTAATGTGAATTTTAACGATACGATAAGGATTTCGAGGAATATTAAACGATCATATTAAGACATTGAATTAAACACTAGGCGAGTAATTAATGAGCACCTGACTACAATTAGAGGTAATACGGGCGATATATATGATCCGTTTCTGAATACAGTCCGTCTAATAAAAGCGTTATCACTATAATTTTTAAATTACTCATTATGGACTTTTGTAAAAAGATTACATGTATGCTATTATATCTTTAGTTCAGCGCTTATAGGTTTTACACTAGAATTACCAACCAGTCAAAATGACGGGTTTCAGGTTTCACAATTTATATTACAAAATTTTGTTGCGGCGCTTTTGTGGAAACGTCTATCATATTTGCATGAGATAAAGGATGGTTACGTATATTAGTTATGCTTCAGTACTTACTAATTTTTCCATTTTACTCTCAATTTAGAGGTAAATGTGCATTTAACACACGTTGTTCCAGTGCTAATAAAGTACTTTGGCCACGCGATTGCTGATGATCGTAGTTTCAGACAACCACGTACTTCCACGCGTTATATCGTCGTGTATTTCATGTACAGCTGTGCATTAGATCGCTATACGTTGTATGGCTATGCATTCAATCGCCACAGTTAGATTTACATGCGTTACATCGCCACGAGTCAAATTTACACCCGTTGTACAACTACGCATTAGATTTCCATGTATTATATCACCACGAGTTAAATTTCCGCGCAACAGATCGCTACGAGTTAAATTTGCACGCGTTAGATTTCCACGCGCTGTATAACTACGCGTTCATTTCCACACGCTACATAACTGCGCGTCGGATTTTCACGCGTTAGATCGCCATGCATTAGAATTATACGCATTTGATTATCACGCGTTGTATAACTAGCCGTTAGATTTCTACGCGTTAAATCTCCAAAAGTAAAATTTCCACATGTTGTATACCAGCGGATTAGATTTTTTATACGTTAGATCGCTACGGGTGAGATTTTCATGTGTTAGATTGCCGCCACTTAAATTTACATATGTTAGATTTCCACGCGTTGTATAACTGCGGATTGGATTTCCATGGAGTAGATTACAACGTATTAGATTTTTACATGTTAATTCGCTACGCATTACATTTCCACACGTATCTTCACGAGATACATTTCTCCGCGTTAAATCGGCAAGAATTACATTTTCACGCCTAATGTCATCATCAGTTGGATTTTCACGCTTTAAATTAGGTCAAATTGGGCTTCCACACATTAGATTATTGCGCACTGCAGAGCTATGCACTAATTTAGCCGCTGGTTAAATAGTCACATATTACATCGCAACTTGTTGAACTGCTACGGGTTAAATGAGCAAAGCTTTATATCACTGATTTATTACCACATCAAGAAAAACTATAACTTGCATTTCAGTAAAATTCGGTCCCTTTCTAATGTCTACTCAATTAGGATCTAATATCGACAGGGAATGAAAGAACTGGTATTTAACCAAATGCAATGATGAATCTCGAACAGTTGGTTTTGAAATAACAATGGTCAAATTTAACTTTTATAATTTAAATTAAAGTTTCAACTTTAAAATGAAACTTGAACCTTTTATTTTTCGATAGAAGGTACAAGTTGAAATTTAATATGTGATATTGATTTTTGGTGAGCTATTAAATGGCACATTAAGTTAAACTACGCGTTTCCTTGTTTAGGAAAGTATAAATCTTATTGTAGATAATTAGAAATCGTGATTTTATCGAAAAGAGAAGTGTTAAGATAGTATACATATCGCTTTTTTGTAGTTATTGAAACTAAAATACAAAGAAAATATGGATAAATGTACATAGACGTTTTTTGAGTATCTTTATGCTTTTTCCCTTGAAGTTGATATATTCAAATTTGACTAGTGGTTATATTATTTTGGTAGATTGTTATGAAGTAATATAAGCAGAAACTAAACGTTACAAAAACAAAAGAGGAAAACATAAGTACATTATCTATTAATGTATATTAGTTGCTATATTAGAAAGCATGCAAATAATATTAGTGTGCAAAAGTGTATGAAATATTTATCAATTTTAATGATATTTTTAATTAATTTGTTGTGGTGTCTGATACAAAAAATAGGAAAACTTAACATATAGAAAATATAATTCCGAACATTTTAAGTATAATTCCAAAAAATGGAACAGAAAATGGAAATTCTACTATGTTAATTTTATATGTTAGTTTTGATGAAACTTGTGTCAAACACTTATATGATATCTAATTAACAGCCCAGTACTTTACAACTTACTGCCCTTTACTCGTACAAAAATTATAATTCAAATACTACAAACTGAATTTGTTCTTGTCTCTGATAAACTTACACGTTATCTCAAATTTCAAATAAAATTAACAAACTTGAACTCCACCAAGGATGTTATGGGTACTTTCTCTGTCTACATTTGAATATTAAAATTAACTCCAGCGTGCTTAACTATTATAACAATCACAATGCAAAGGCTTAATTAGCATGTAAACAAAACGATCTCTAAAAGCTTTCTTTAGTCCACAAACACAGTAAGCAAGTCCTTTACAAGTAGTTAACAGATGCATGCACTCGAAAAGATCGAATAGCTAAATAATCATTCCCAGTATTTCCTTCGAATTTTCTGATCTCTCTTCAGAATGAACCGAACCGTAAATTCTATGAATAAATGAATTAAATCTGAAATATCCTGTTGAATAATGAAGCAGATCTGTAATTTATCCGCTATTAACTGACTTTAATAACGGTTTAGATTTGTTTAGCTAAGTATGACGAAAAACAATAACAGCTCGCATTAAATTTAGAAATCTCAATTACCTCTAAATCTTTCACGGACGTTATGATACATGCACATTTTTTTTTAAAAGGTTAATCAATCTTGGCTTCAGAAGTGAAAGGCGTCGTTCTTTCTCCGTTACTTCTTTTTTTATCTCTTCGTGATAGGTGTACACGAGCGTGTACAACTATTTACGAGAGATTCAACACGTACAAAATACCAGAAAAGTCCTGAAGGGAAACGGAACACGAGTTTCTCTTAATAATGCATTGATTTGCATTATTGAACTCGAAACTTTCCTGGTACTGTATCATGACGGTATAAAGGATGATGCTGCTTCTGGGCCGGCGGGTGGATTTTATAGGCGAGGGGCTGACTGGAAATCGGAGTAAGCAACAGGTAGGTAATTCTGGTTTTCGTCATGTACGTTCATACAGTATACGTTACATGTATATTCGTCGCAATAAATAGCCGATCAACACGCATATTAACGGTACGATTCAATGAGGTAACGTTGCCTAAATATATCCCCTTAATTTTTATTAATCCGAGTTTTTAGGGCTAATATTCTTCAAATACCAATTCGTAACGTGTAGACAAATTATAATAAAAAGATTTGGTATATTAACGTAAATATTCGGTTCATGAAGACTAAGTTTCAGGAGCTCCATAAATATACCAACCATCTAAGAAAAACTGTTTTACTATGTTTTCTTTTTTGTAAACCAATCTCAATTCCTCTAATCATTTTCACACTTAATAACAAAACTCGATTCTTTAATAAAATGAATCTGTACAAATCTTGAAAAAATCAAATATGTCTGACAAAATATTTTTTTTAAAGACTTAGAAAAAAATTTTTTCAAACATTAATAAATAGAAAAAATATTTTAAGTATCTTTAACTGACATGACATATGCTACGTGTGAAATTTTGCATCCTTTCTCATGATGAAAATGACTGCTTCCTAAATTGTCCGGTGTTCAATACAAAATATGATTAATACATATCATTAAACAAGACAAAATTCTTTGAATGAAAAGAAGACTCTTAAGTGTTATAAAAAGAATGTTTTTCAAAGAATATTCTCAACGTGTCTTAATGTCATATTTATAACAATATTGATTGTATACGTTATATTTTCAATATAATGCATGATTTTACAGTAGGTTAATAATATGAAAATAATAAGAAAAACAGTAAAAGATTATACAGTAACTTCCTGAAGGTTCTATCAAACATAGTGAAGAGAATTGATTCAAGAACTTTTTTCTAACAATATTTAGCTTTAAAATAGTTAAGTCTTGAAAGTGGTGTCAATATAACAAAAAATTTTAATATTTTACAATTTTTCCCTACTAATGTCTAACGTTAAAGTATACAAAAATATCTAAAACAATAGAATTTGATATTCAATCACGAATAAAAGCTTAAAAAATGCAAGTGTTCCATGATTAATAGCCTCGTTTCGCATCAAGAAGGCTTTTATACATAACACTTCTCTGTAATTTGGAATTCTTTATCAGAGTATTTCGAGGGAATAAAGTAGTTTCACCGTTTTGTAATCACAGACGTAAAGTAGTAGAAGCAAAAAGGATAGTTTTGTGACTTACCGTTCTGCGACTGCGGTAAATGGGTGGTCGAACCAGTGTGAGGGTGCATCGACGGTAATTTTCTGGAAGTAGATACGGTGATGACATTTAGGTTGTTGTGCACGCTGTTATTGCCATGATTGCTGATAGGAGAGTCACCACTGCTGCTATCATAACTACCCTCGAGACTTCTAGCTGGTTGAAGGACCGAAGGAAGTCGATCTTCCGCCCCGAATGGCAGTGGATCCACCTGCTAGTAAAAGATCAATTACGATCGGAGCCGGATAGTAGGTCCTCCAAGTCGAAATTTAAATTGCAGAATTTTATTCTATCGATTATAGATGAGATTCAAAAAATCAGAATTGAAATTTTAGAAATAGAAAGCAAAGTATGATTCCTATCCTCGAAATGTTACGTATGTTCAAATACGGGGAATTATTTTAATATGTGAACTCGAGAATTTGTAGATTCAGAAATATGGAAATTGCAAAATTTTTTAGTTTTAATGATTTGAGGTAATTTCTAAATTCTGTGATTTTTGAAAGAACAAATCTCGAAATCTTCGAGTTTCTATATTTTTGAAGTGCAAAATACACAATCACAAATCATGAAATTCTTAGATTTTTATATTTTTGAATTGTAAAATCAACACTTCCGAATATCGAAATCCCCAAATTTCTAAATTTTTAGATTGTACATTCTATACTTCGAAATCTGAAACATTTCAAAATTTGAAAATCTCTGAAGTTTTATATCTCCAAAATAGCAAAATTCCACATTCTATAATTTCTAAATTTCTGAACTGCTCAAACCTCAAATTAACAAATCCATAAATTTGAAAATTACACTTATTTTTTTCATATTTGTAGATTCTCAAATTCCCCAATTTCGAAAAACTTAACTTACAAATTTCTGAATACAAAGATGAAAAAAATTCAAATTCAAATTACAATTTATATTTCGACTCGGATTACTTGAAATTGCCAAAATACACGGGCACATACTATCCGCTTAACCTATGATTATTTCGGCAGTTGCGTCAGTCGTTAACTAATTATTACAGCAATATTAAAATAAATGTAACAAATTGAAATGTGAAGTATATTTTGTGTTTTAGCAAACTTTTGTACAGACTGTAATCGGTATTGAACTCAAAATCAAATCCTTATGCAAATACGGTTTAAGTTTTTCACATTTGAACTGTAATGTGCGTCACGAATCTGCCTCGATGTTACAAGTCAAGCGACAATATGGTCACCTGATGCTAACAACACAATGAAATAAAAAGTAATCTTGATTCTTCTCAAGTAGATTATCTATGATTTCAAATCAACATCAGATGATCGAGGATAGCAATATATTGGTTAATCCTTTGTACTCAAAAAGCGACTCATATTCAATATTTCTTGTAACCCTTTCGATAAAGTACACACTGCCCACCATTATTTATCCTGAGAACTTCCGCGAAAATAAGAAGTTAAAAATGATTGATTTTCAAAGTAGATTAAACCTTTTATTTACAACGATTTTTAACTTCCTTTGAATTTAATGGAATATGTCATAATAAATTTTATTACCAAATATACAAGATGTCTCACAACTAATGTAACTCTCAGAAAAGAGTTGTTCAGAATTAGCTACAATCTTTTTCCGAGAGTTACACTAGTTGTGAGACACCCAATATACATATAGTCAGTGTATCTATATGATACAATCAAGTTACATAGACAAATTATTTACAATTTTTTTCTGTGAAAATTATTTATAATTCTTTTCAAGTTAATTCCTGAACCTAAGGTGAAGTGGGGTAAGTTCGTAAACGGGGCAAGTGCGTATACAGGCTACTCTTATTACAATATGAGCGAAATTTCTCCATTTAATATGTTTGTTTCCTTGTTTTGTTTTACTATATCCCCTTTTATATTTCAGCTAAGAGTACTTGTTTGTAATATAGAGTACTTGCATAATGCAATAAAAAGCATTTTATAGCAGATTTGTTAATATTTCTGCTCTTGCTCCATTGCACATGAAATAAAGTTTCAAAGCATTTAACTTCAAGTTACGCTCTTATCCCATTTTCGGGGAAAGTGCAGAGTAGTTGACATTTTAAACAATTTCCTATCAAAATCAAAATGTACAAGGAAAATTAAGGTCCTTGTTAATATTAATTACATAGTAGTAATTGTGCAAAGCGTTCGGTATCGACAGCGTTAAGTATTTACATAGCAGACTGAAAATACTTACGTTTAAATTCCAACTTTACAAAAACCAGTCTGCGCTTACCCTACTTCACCTTATAGTTTTCTAGACAGTTGCACAAATGACTAATTATTGCCTCAACGTGAAGACAAATAAAGAAAATTGAAAAGTTAGGCAAGCTTTATATTCAACGATCATTGATTATAATTAGAATTGAGCCCATGTAATAGCGATGGAAATATGAATCTGGTTCGTCACATATGAATTATAGAGCGCGTCACGAGTGTAAGGCGGTATTGTAGGGCAAGAGGTGAAATTAATGAGTAGCTTCTTTGTAGGAAACATTTTTAGTAACTGGGGTTTTAGATGTCTCAATGTGCTATGTATGTTATTCTGATGAATTGTAATCATTAAAAGTTATATCTATTCCATATAGTAAAGATGTAATATATGCTGTATAACTAAAAATCACTCCATTACATAAAATATTAAAAATGAGTATATCTTGCGCTATAAAATCATCAAAATGTTACAAAAAGAATATCATGCACAACATTACTTTCAAGAATGTTCAAACTAAAAAACACATGTTTATTCCTTGCGAAATAAACAGTCCTAAAGATCTCAATTATTATATATGTCCAATTAGCAATGTTTATAAAAGTACATGAATGTTCATTAAGTCAAAATGGAAAATGAATTATATTGCACACTTTCGCTTAATTCTTTTTACAAAATTTCAGTTTCTTCGGTCATCTCGACACCATTCGTAATACACATTACAACAAGCAACCGCTAAACCCCTAAATCACTAAAATATTAAATAAAAAAATTTCAAACAGACTTCTTATTCAGAATAGACAACAGAATATTAATGCACTCAAACAATATTTCAACACTATACGGACCTTCGATGAGTATCAATTTTTAAATTAAAACTAAACTAGAAACAAAGATAGATACGTAAACTATAATAGCTCCTATTCTTTATCTCCACAAAACTTAATATACATTTCAACGAAAATTTCTCAATAATTTCTATAATTTACAATAAGAAATCTAAAATTCATCAGTTTGATTAATGAGTTTCCATAAATCTAGTTTAGAAATCTAAAATACAATTAAACCTAATAATATTTCAACCAGATCCATTTATCAGCAAAGAGAACAAAATATTAATGTTCCCAAATGATATTTCGACGTTACAGATGTTCAAAGAGCATTAATTATATTTAAATTAAAACTAAATTGGAAAAATAACTAATTGTAAGAGATGCTACGTGAACTAGCTTCCATATTTTCTATAGAAGATACCTTCTTTCCTCGATAAATTTTATAATTCAAAAATAAAAAATCCAAGATCCGTTATTTGATAGATGATGTTCCGTGAATTTAGGTACATCTGAAATACTATTAAACACAATAAAATTTCAACCGCGTTCAGCATAAAGAATACTTCAGTGCCGTTGAAACACTACATGTACAGTTTAGTAAATACCAATTCTCAAATTAAAATTAAACTAAAAAATTAAATAATTACCTGTAAATTAGCTCACATTTTTCATCCCGAAAAAAGTTACCTTTTTCTTAGTAATTTCCATAATTTGTAATAACAGATAAAAGATCGTTTTTTAAATAATTTTCTGTATAGTTGAATTATCCTAACTACCCTAAACAAACCACGAGTGCCTTTAGGAGTCAAAGGGTTAACCAAGTGTGGATAATTTTTCGTCGAAATAAAATATCCCGACGGAACAAAGAAGGACTAACCTCATCATCTGTTCTGACTCTCCGCTCGTCAAGTGCCAGGGCTCTTCTCAGCGCAGTTTGTCTCGCCATCACCCGTTGCCGATCTGCAGTGAGCTTACAGCTGTCGCAAGTGCAGTAACGATACTTACAGTACCTTTTGTGCCCTTTTACAGCGATTTTCAGCTGATGGTTGCGACATCGCGCGCAATTTGGAGGTTTACGTGGATTCGGTGCGCCATTGGTAGACGAGGACGAGCTCTTTTCCAGTTGAGCTGACGCAGAATCATCTCCGTTGTCCATGCTGTCCTGCGATGTCTCCAAACTGTCGGACACACTTCCTACACTCAACTGTGTGGGAGCCAGAGTTTCGGCTGTTTTTTTACCTCTTTTTAGCGAAAACAAATGAGTGACCAGTACTCTGGCCCTCTTTATTATTACTAAGATTAAGTGACGGAAACTTTTGGACGGACTTGCTATTCTAGCTTTATCCTTTCAGCGTTTGAGAGAATTGTCTTTTAAACTGGGATGATCTTCGGGATGTACCGAGATTTAGTTCTGAAACAGAAGAATGAGAAATTAAAACTACATTACAGGAAAAACGAAATTGGATTGAATAGAAAATTGTTTTTGTTAGATGATAGTTGTTCAATTTATGTCGACACGCATGTAATCTTGAAGTTTTAGTAAGTTTTTATTAACACCAGATTTATGGAAACCAAAAAAATTGATCTTGGATTTTAAATTACAAAAAAGAGTGAGAAACCTTAGTCAAAATGTAAGTTAATCTTTGTTGAGACATTATGAAAGCTAGTTTACGTATTATACACTATTCATTTTACTGTGATTTGGGAAATTTTCATATCTTTTGAAAATTATGAAACTTGGAGCTTTAGAAATTAAGGATGTAGTAATTTAGAAATTAAAATCTAGAAATTTGAGAATCTGGGAATTTTAGAAACTTGAGAACCTGAAAATTTCAGAAACTTGAGAACTTGAGAATTTCAGAAATTTGAAAACCTGGGAATTTAAAAAATTTGAGAATCTGGGATTTTAAGAAATTTAAAAATACCGAACTACAACATTTGAAAAATTAAATAATTTAATAATCCATTAATTTGGAAAGTCGAAAATTTAGAATGTTTCAATTTAAAAATCAGAGAATTTGAAAATTAAAAATTTTTTAATTTCTGAATGTAGAAACATGAAAACTTGAAAATTTAGAATTTTTAAACTTATAATACTCGTAAATATTATGTACAAATTTTTGTTACTCACAAACAGTTCCATCCAAACTATCCTCGAAAAAATTAAAAGATTGGCACCTTGTTCATAAAAATGAATTTATAACATCAATTTCTTACGAAAACTCTCCGAAGTTAATTCGTTCACATTTCTCAAGTTCACCGAAAGTGTATAAAGAAAATGAAAACTCCACATCGCAACCACCTGCACTCGCAATTAGTAGGTACTCCACGTACATTCACACATATTCGAAGTAATAACTAGGCTCGATAAATCTCTACTCAAAGCCAACGTACAGGAAATAAATCAAATTCATTTTGAGTAAATACGATTACCATAAAACTGTCATAAATTTGAAGAATCGTTCTACTCGCGATCAACAGTTTATCACTTTCTCACAACGAAAACCAGTCTTGTATGCAGAAAAGGTGACTACAACTCGGTAAATGGAAATCGAACTATTCACATTGCTTACACCGAATATTAACACCAGAATTACAAACTGTTAACACGCAGCTATTTCAAAATGACCGATCTTACAGATCAAAAGGAAGTTTATATTAAAGAAATATAATTACTATGACGACAACTAATAATAACAGAATTTGACCCTTTGTTTACTTTTTGCCAACTAGTTCTTACGACAATTTCATTTTGATGATCTTTTACCTTCATTTTCATCTTCAGAAGTACACCAGCACCTTTTGGTGAAAATTCTAAATATTCTCAGTTTCCGAAGACTCCCGAATGTCTTCTTCATCTATCATTTCATTATTACTATAAAGTTCAATTTCATTTTGTTTTAATTCACATTCAAGCTCATAGCATCTTCATATCAGAGCATTGGTATATCCTTCACTTTTTCTAATAATTCAAATATTTCTAATTGTTTCGCCATTTTTGGGACCTATCTTTGTATAATAGAACTAGGTCCTATTCTAATGATTATGGTATACAAAATGTCCGCGAGAAGCAATGAGTACGTTACGTTACATCGCGGCCATGTTTATGTTGTGTCACCATGTAAAGATGGTGCGATAAAATTTCATAAGAAACTAATAAATCTATCTAAATATCTAATAAACGACTTCGAGTTTGGTAAAGAAATCATAGGATACTTTTTTAATTTGAGATGTACCAGTTGAAATGACTGATATTGATAGCCATGGTACAACATTATTTTGACTCTGAATAAACGAAATAAAAAATTAATTGTATTACACCTTCAGTGATCGGTAAACAGATTCATAGGTCACTTTTTCATTTTGAGAAGTACTAATCAAAACAATTCATATAAGTATAAATAGCCATGATAAAAAATTATTTTTATTCCGAATAAATAAAACAGAAACAAAGTTCAATATATTAAACCTTATCCTTGCAAAATCGCATCATAATAAATATGTAACATACGACTTTCAAATTAAATTATAAAATCAGTCATTTTGAGTGATGCGGTAGTTCTAGCGTTAATAGTAGTGTCGGTAATAAGTGGACGATTTTCAGCGTGGAAATGGAGCTACGATAGGTATTAGAAGGCGGATGGATTGAAATCCGAAGTGAACGGCTGAATTTATAAAAATTTGGCTTTCACGGTGGAAATAGTGCATGATAACTTGATCAGGGCAATCTCGTTCGAGCTATATGATATCTATACGTGAAATGCATTCGTCACACCGCTGCCGTCGGATCGCATTAGCTATGTTAGCTATGTTGTTCAATTAGTGACCCACGGGGCCACGACTGATTAAAATTCTATCGAGTGGAATATGATGCCAACTGCTATCGACAGATATTTTTTTTCTCTTCAACGTACACAGTAAACTGTACTGTTTGATGAAATTGGAGGATCATCTACTCAAGTAACTTTATCGTTCGATGGAGTACACGGAACGATAAATCAGTAGGTTCCTGACGGTGCAACGCTATGTTTTAAAGGAATGTGAAATAATGCTTTGTAGGTAGTACATACCACTTTTAGAAAAGTTGGGTAATCTTTTTAGGATGAGACTTTTTCGCGAACTATGTAGTGTAGTTTTCTAAGATTTGTAAGTCCTAAAGTTTGATTTAAAATGTAGGAGTTTCGTAATTCGCGTATGTAAAAGTTCAAAAATTTCATAATCAAAACCTTAGGAAATTCTGAAATTTCAAAATTCGAGAATAATAAAACTACATAGTACATAAATTCAAAATTTAAAATCGCAATATTCGAAGTTCCATAATTCAAACATTAACAAATTCAGAAATTTCAATATTCAAACATTTAGAAATTTTAAGGTTATAAAATTCAAAAATGTCAAAGTGAAAGTTCCAAAATTGAAAAATCCAAAAATTCAAATACTTAAATATTAAAAAATTCTACAATTCTAAAACTCTAAAACTCCGAAACACCAGACCTCTAAAACTCTAAATATTTAAAACTCCAAAACTCCAAATCTCCAAAATTCTAATATTTTCAAATTTGAAAGTCCTAAAGGTCTACAATCTCAAAATATTAAAGTAAAATAAATTTTATTGCATACTTTCTATTTATTTTTATTCTACAAAATTACTCTTATTCATACTGTATACCCATTTACAATATTGCAATAAGAAAACTCGCGCAACTTGTTCCAATTACATGAATGATCTTGTAGACGTGAGTGCTTCCAATGTTAAATTTATACCTAAGACCAGAAGAAAGAATGCAGTTACAAAGGCATATTGTAAGGTTTGTATACATTTATCGCATGAACTGGACACCTATGTTTATTTGAAGCTGTGGACAAAACGACATTATTTATCGAATGACGTGATAGTACGTGCTAACTGAAAGGAGATTCTGAAAATTTTCACCCCTTGCTTTATAATATCAAGTCACACTCCGAACGTAATTCACGGTATTGTACTTGCTAGAGTAGATAAAACAAATTATACATTTCATAGATGTATGTTATAGTTTATTTTGTTTGTAAAAATTGTTAAGTTTGGAAATTTGAAATTTTTAGTATGGAATTTTTGAATTCTTAATTTTAGTATTCTGTACTTTTATACGTTTATGATCCTACAATTCTATCGATAATTTTGTAATTTTTTAATAATGTAATATTGTAATTTTGCAATCTTATAATTCCATAATTATGTAATTCTATAATTCTATGATTCTATAATTCTACAATCCTATTATGCTATAGTTCCACAATTTATTAATGCAATAATTCAATAACTCTATAATTCTATAATCTTACAATTTCATAGTTCGTCGATGCAACTATCTAGTCCTTATCTATAACTCGATAAGTCGACCAATCTATAACACTATAATCCAATAATCTAATAAGTAATTCAGAAATTCAGTTACTCAGTAATTAAATAATTCAGTAATTCGATAATCCCATAATTCAAGAATTCAATAATTGAATAATTCTGTAATTTTTATTCTTTTTTAATTCTAGAAATTGACATGGAAAATAACCCAAAAATTCGTTGTATGCCAAAGCTATAATCTCATTTTATACAAATTTAGAATGCCCTAATATTTTACATATGTAAAGAACATAAGAATATGAATAATAATAAAAATAGTAAGAAAAATAATACATGACGAAAAAATTTCAAGACTACTTTCCAAAGTCCTTATATTGATTATAAAAAAAATGTCTACCCTACACAGATAATTTATTCACGATAAAAATGAGTGCCCTGTTATTCACCGGCGTGCTCGATATTTATTAATCTACGAGTGAAATAACAATTTAAAAAAAGCGTAATAATCAATTTGGAAAACTGTCATGCACAAACAAAGAAATAATCTTTTTGAAATCTAAATTTTCTTCCGTTTGATTCTATAGATGGTATTCTTGAAGATGGTTAAACCTTTTGTTAGAAAGATTATAGTCACCCACTATCATTAAATAGTCAATAAGAAATACAAGCTAGTATAGTTAATAGCTTCTGACTGATCGTTGTGTATGAAAAGATAATAAATACGGAATGAAAATGGTTAGAGCAAGCTAGAAGAGTAAATTTCCTTTGATTCATTTAAGCACTAATCACTTAATTACAGAGAAGCCTGTTACTCTTTTTGAGCAGAATTGCACTGAAGAATAATAGCTCGAAATGATTGTAGAGGCGAATAAAAGGTGAAAACGATGTATAAAGGTAAGTTTTACT